AGTACTGGTCTCCAGGTAGCTATCCATGGGTGATTCCATTCAAGAAGTTCCGCAGCTGTTTGGAGGCCACGTGAATTCCAAAGGCGTTCTCCACTCAGGCCGCGACTGGAGATGACTTCATATTTTGGTGTACATGAAGGTGAATGGCGGCAGCCGGCTCCTGCTTATAGAGGAAGATCTTGGGTATCTTCCGCCCTGGTACTCATATCCACTTCCTCTGTCTGGGCTGCGAAAACTTCGCTCATATGTGACTCGGCCGGAATGACTTTTTTTTGGCCCCCCCTGTATAATAGCGCCTAAAATTTTTGTGACACCTTGCATGTGTACCTAACTGTGCTGTTTACATATTTACTATCTTCTAGGATTTTCAGCACCCTCCAACAGTTTCTCAAAGTCCAACTACGCTTGATCCAGTTGATCCCAACCAAAGAACAGGTTCTTGAGCTTTGATTTTGCTGTTGATATATATACCTAAAATCCATGAGATGAGGTAGGCGTGGCTGGGTAAATCAACCAAACGGGCGCTGCCTGTACTTCCTGTGAGATATTTCCATTTTTAGACAGATGTGTTTATGACATAGTCCAACACAGAACAAGATGACAATTGTCTAGTGTTGAAATATCCCACGAGTAACCCGTGTACCATGTTCAAAAGCCACGCCTACTCTGTCTCAGGGATAAGGAGTGTATTTTCATATTATGGATTTTTCCGTAGTAGTATAGAAAGGGTGTGAAAAATCAGGTAAATGTTGCAGCACGATCTTCTCCTCAGACAGCCTCGCCTACCATGCCATTGTCTCCAGTTCATAGCTTACCTGACCAGGTACGATTAGCTTTAGAAATGAAGGAAGGCGGAGCATATTCGGAGAAGCGTCTGAATACTCAGTCTTTCTGCACATGAAAATATCGGGAGCATGTAAAAAACGTCTAATTGTTAAATATCATGCTGAGGAAGCAGAGTTCCGTGTAGTTCCGAACAGGCAGCCTAAATGATTGGTTTAAACGGAATATGAAGCCCTGAATTCAAGGCACATCGTACGTTGGGCATCGGCCAGCGAGGGGTTCTAGTTGTCGCAAAGAGAGGGGTCGTACTTGCCTTAGAGTGAAAACGTTTCAGTTGTCCACTTTTATCGATTTTCCGTGCTCCCCTTCCCTCCCACCTACTAGACTGTGACCACTGCAGTTTCTGGGTAAAAATTGAACTGATTTAAAAAAAAAACTCCGGGAAGGTAATAGGAAATTGGAAAATTCAGGAGAA